AGCTTGGTAAATCTGTTGGCGATCAAATATTCAATATTGCTACTCATCATAAGTACTTGGTACATTATCAGCGCAGCGGGAGACGTTCAATCTAATATCACGTAATTTACGTCTCTTTGATGATTGGTTGATATCAGAAGGCAAGGGTTCTTTTCTCAACACTCCTCAGTGCTGAAAGTGAACACTCGATGGTGATTGGCTAATTTTTTTTACCAACGGAGGCACGAGAGCTCAGCGCTCACCCTGCCTCCCCCTCCCCTTCTCTATTATTAGCGGTTGCAATTACATCAGCAGATTCGGCACATTCGCGATAGAAAAGCAGCGCGTTCACGTTATGATATTACAACTGTGAAATTACAAACAAAAAATACTCATTCTGAGACATGAACTGAAATGAATTGTGAATTTTATTAACATTAAATCGTCTTCCTCCCATTTTCACCTCAAAATTATGGGGAAGCTATGCCTCCCCTGCTTCCCCCGACGAGCCGCCACTGTTCTATTCTACACCGGACGCGAGCGGCGCAACAAAATACAATAGAATTCTATTGTATTTTGTCGCGCCGTGCAATGTGATGTGACCGATGTGATAAGCATGAGTTCTGGGCCACGGCGTGGCCGGTAAACACCAGCATTGAGTGGCCGCGATCAGCTCCAGTGGCCGTAACACAGGCTTTAATGCGCCGCAGACACGTGCAGTGAAGCGCAGATCAGCTCTAGTCTCTAACGTCACTGAATCTGCTGTTAAAATTAACCATCCATTCATCATATCATCATGCAAACAAAGAATTAGAATCATTGTAATGTGACTATCAAATATAGGTGCGGGTGGGTGGTGGGCGGATCATTTGAAGGAGGACTCGGGTGAAGTTTGAGCTCATCCGCGCATCTCAATACTAAACTGACATGGGTCCAGTAGCAAACAATGGAGCACGCTCTGCTGGACAAACTAAGTAATTACACCATTCAGAAGCATTTAATCTGCGTTATATGTTCTTTAAAAGAAAAATGTTCATATCGGCGGCATATTCGCCGATACCGATATATCGGCGACAGGCTCATATCGGCCGATAATATCGGCTAAACGATATATCGGTCGGGCTCTAGTTCTCAGTAGTCAGTTGAACGGAAGCACAGTATAGTTCGAGTCGCCAACATTTTTTATTACTATTTGTGTGTGTCTATGTATTATGTGCTGACAGTTTGTATTAAAAATCTTCATAAAATTGACACTGAAGACTAGTGTAATGATGCTGAAAATTCAGCTATGATCACGGGAATAAATGTCATTTAAAAAAATATTAAAATATAAAACAGTTTAAATTGTAATAATATTTAACGATATTACTGTTTTTACAGTATTTTTTTATTAAATAAATGCAGACTTAGTGAGTACAAGAGTCTTACTGACCCCAAACCTTTAAACAGTAGTTAAAAAAAAACTGTAATTCACTATGCGGCACATTTTACCCCACATAATATATATCTAAAGCATTCATATCATTTTGGTGAAAGTTTTCCCCGAACTCTGGTTAATGTCTAACCTTACTTTACACCAATTTTACCACAGTGAGTGGGTGTGGTAGGCACAACTTTATTATTTTTATTACAGTGTATACAATCAGTCTTTTTCTTGCTACTTCAGGGAAACATCGTGTCTGGCCAGTTTAAGTTTCATGGAATCATCACTACATTTGAAATGATAATGGCTGACTGTCCAGAGCTGAAGAAGATTAACTGGCGCTGTGTGGTGATCGACGAGGCCCATCGCCTAAAAAACCGCAACTGTAAACTGCTGGAGGGACTCAAACTCATGAACCTGGTAAATTTTTTGCTCATTTGTGGACCATGAAACATACGTAGACGTTTTTGTCATGGGATGTAAGTGTCATGTGTCATTTATAATATCAACTGCTCTACAAATGATTCAAAGACTTTCCAGAAAAGGAGAAGTAAAGCCATCTGTGAGCTAAAATACAGTGCTATCTTATGTACACATCTTCACTGCATTTACATGCACACATCCTCTCTGGACACAGAATGAGTAATCTCATCTCTCTCACTTTACATATTACTGCAGCCATGGCCAGTGTGTGCAAACTGAACTACATTTGACGCAGTGCCGCTTTATCCAACAAAATATCTCGCAGCTAATTAGGTTTTCGCAGATGTATTTTGATATACAGTGGTTTGAAAAGTATTTGGACGATTAAGCCACTTTGCAGTAGTGAATGACATCCAGAATGTGTATAAATAGTGTTTTCACTATATTTAAATTTGTAAATAAATGCTACTTTTGATATTTTGTATCGAATGCATTTATTTTTAATTGAGACTTCAGTGTCCAAATACTTTTTTGGTTCACAGTATACAAATGTATCCTTATGTTGGAGCCCAAATGTGTGAGACTATGTTCAAAGTCCAGCTCAATGTTTCCCAGTGTTGTTTCTCCGTCTTCATCCAGAGAGAGTTGGTATAGATATCTTAAAATGTACATACATACTTAATGTTTCTATGTGTCTTCTCTCTTAAGGAACATAAAGTCCTTCTCACAGGAACCCCTTTGCAGAACTCAGTTGAGGAACTCTTCAGTCTGCTTAACTTTCTCGAACCCTCACAGTTCCCTTCCGAGACCACTTTCCTAGAGGAGTTTGGAGACCTGAAGACAGAAGAGCAGGTGAGATCTAACCCTTGATTGGAAGCTTGTTATCTTTCCTTATGGGCTAGATAAACATCTACACACCTTCACCTCCAATTGTCTGCTCCACCTAGAGGATAGTAGGCAACATCCTTATTAAAATTTTGTGGTCAATGCCTATAAACTCAGAATAGCCAAATAAAGTGCTGATGTATTTTTGTAGGGCAACCTGAAAGTTAGCATGACCCTGGTTCCCTCGACAAAAAGCTAGTAGGATTTTTCTATTGGCTTTTGGCTTTTTGCTGAAAATAAGCTTGGTGACCAACAAAAGTTTAAAACAACAAGCTACACCACAGTCGGATGACTTCGGCTTCACCACCATTATGCTTTCCATAACACTTTTGATCTTTATTTAAAATCTACAAGTTGGAAAGTCTGAGTTAGAATAGTTTTCAAGAGCACAATTTATTAATACAACAAGGCTGTAAAAGCAACTAGTGAGCAGATGAGTTTACCTGTTCAGTGTGACGTTTAATGTCCCTGACTACCTTTTTTTTATTCCCATTTAGCCACTTGTTAGCAACCGAATTTTCAAGACAAAAAAATAAATTAAATAAAATAAAAATTTTCATGTTGGAGTGTTACAGATGTAATTCGTGTTGTAGAATAAAACTTGAAAATATCTTAAACTTGTGTTAATCACAGACTTTATTTTAGGCAATTAACCAAACACCCTTTCAAAAAAACCTTTGATTTTGGAAAGATGGAAGTGGAAAATGCTAATTTATTTCCAGGTTTTAGGACTCAATATTAGGCCATATGGCCTGATTATTATTGACTGATTATGTGCCCAGCTTTAACCTGAGAAACATCAACATATCCTCAGGTAAAGAAACTACAAGCCATTCTGAAGCCCATGATGTTGAGGAGACTGAAGGATGACGTGGAGAAGAATCTGGCCCCTAAAGAGGAGACAATCATTGAGGTGGAGCTCACTAATATTCAGAAGAAGTACTACCGCGCCATTCTGGAGAAAAACTTTGCCTTCCTTGCCAAGGGAGCAAACCAGCACAACATGCCCAACCTCATCAACACAATGATGGAGCTTCGCAAGTGCTGCAATCACCCATACCTCATTACAGGTGACATCTGGTGTTTAGATCAAGTGTCAATATGAAATATATCTTGGTTGCAGTTTTCTACATCTCAGTAGCCACACCTCTAATTTGTAGCGCTGACGTAGTCCCCCATCTTCCTTCTGTCAGGTGCTGAAGAAAAGATCCTTGAGAGCTTCAAGAAAACCTACAGTTCTGATGCTGTAGATTTTCAGCTGCAGGCAATGATCCAGGCCGCTGGTAAACTAGTACTTATTGACAAGTTGCTGCCCAAGCTGCTGGCCGGAGGACATAAAGTGCTGGTGTTTTCCCAGATGGTCCGGTGCCTGGATATACTGGAGGACTACCTCATTCAGAGGAGGTGAGACAGTTGCTTATTATACAGTGCCATGAGTCATACTTCTATAAAAAATGTTCAGCTGTTTTTGAAACTGTAAGTGAATGAGGAAATAGACTCCGAATGTCGATATTAAATCAAAACTTGGTTTACTTCACTTGTTGCTTTTCTTCAGGGATCCCATAGTACTGAAAAAAATTAAGTGGTTTTTATTTTATTTTAACATTTTTTAAATACTTTATAAAAAAATCCATGGAAATTCATTGGTCAAAATGTGCGAGAAACCTGTGTCTTATTACAACATTTAAGAAAAAGGTTTGGGGTCAGTGAGATTTTTTTTTTTATGAATTAATTATTTTTATTCAGCAAGGATGCAATAAATTGATCAAAAGTGACAGTAAAGACATAATGTTACAAAAGATTTCTATTTCCAATAAATGCTGTTCTTATTAACTTTTTATTTATCAAAAAATCCTGAAAAAAAGTATCACTGTTGACACAAAAATATGAAGCAGCACAACTAAAACTCACTGAACTCACTTTGACTCAGGAATAATTTATCATTATTATAATTATATTTTTATATATTATTATTATAATTTATCAAATCATTATTTTAGATTGTAATAATATTTCACAATATATTTATTTATTTTACTGTATTGTTGATAAAATAAATGCGTCCTTGGTGAGCATAATTCTTTTTTCAGAAACATCTACCCAACCCCAAACTTTTGTGTATATTATCAAAATATTTCAAAATGCATGGCTGAAACAGTAAACAAAATATGAGAGCTATGGTGGAGAAAGAGTGGGATTGGTAGTTTTCATGCATAAAGGATATAGATGTGAAAAGGAAATGTCTTCTCTGAAATTTGTATAATACATGTAGGTATACATACGAGCGTATTGATGGGAGAGTTCGAGGGAATCTACGGCAGGCCGCCATCGATCGCTTCAGTAAGGTGGATTCTGACCGCTTCGTGTTCCTCCTCTGTACACGAGCAGGAGGTCTGGGCATCAACCTCACCGCCGCTGACACCTGTATTATATTTGACTCAGACTGGAACCCGCAGAACGACTTGCAGGTAAAGATGTAGATCTTTTATGTACAGTATCAGTGAGACTCTCCTCCATTAGCAATTTCCATTACCAGCTTTTTAGCAGCACAGGCTTTTCGAATAATCATAAATATTAAAGGGGTGGTTGATTTATGATTTCACTTTTGGAACTTTAGTTAGTGTGTAATGTTGCTGTTCGAGCATAAACAACGTCTGCAAAGTTACGATGCTCAATGTTCAATGCAAAGGGAGATATTTTCTTTTAAAGAAATCGCTTTTTAAGGACTACAAAACAATGGCTGGTAGGGACTACAACGAGCTTCTTCCTGGGTTTGTGACATCACTAACCCCGATGTTAACATAAACCCCGCCCCCGGGAACACGCAACTACCCATAATTTTAAGGGGTCGTGACATTTCTGGACAACGTGCACTAGGCGGTAAGCGAATCACAAACGCAGTGAGCCCGCTAACCAATCATAGCCCATTGCATATTTCTGAGGGAGGGGCTACATAGAACCAGGAACTCAACAGACCCTTTTAACGAGAATGGAAACAGCGGTGTAGAATAAAGGTAAAATATGTGAAAATAAGGCATTTTTAAAAAAACGAAGCATGAACACGTTACACTGCACCCCATATACACAGTCAAGCTTTCGAAAAAGGTTATTCACCAACCCTTTAAAGGGTTAGTTCAACCGAAAATGGTCCATTAAATTAGTCCATAAATTACTCACCCTCAAGTCATCCTAGGTGTATATGACTTTTTTTCTTTCAGACGAATCCTGTCGGAGTTATATTAAAAATGGTCTTTGATCTTTCAAGCTGTGTCATTGCACTCAGCGGGTGTTGCATGCATCCGTCCAAAAGAAGTTAAATAAAAAGCGCCCATCCATAAAAAAAGCGTCTCACGCGGCTCCTGGGGGTGAACAAAGGCCTTCTGTAGTGAATCGATGCGTTTTTGTACGAAAAATATCCATATTCAAAACGTAATAATCACTTTAATGTAGCTTGCGCTCACTCTTGTAAAAGGAAGCAGCTCCGGGAGGATAACGTATGAGGTCAGTGCTGCGCATGCGCCGGTGAGTCTCGTGAAAGCGAACGTTTGTTAACAAGAGCAAAGGAAGCAAAGTATCTTTACTTTAGCAAAGGAAAACCAGTCTCCTCTTGGCTTATATCGAAATCCTACGAAATTCTTCTTTACAAATCCTCGTTTTGTACTTCTATTTAGTGACCGTTGTTTTGTTTTGATCTCTCCCCTGTGCTTCCGCGTGCGTCACTTCTGAGCGGCGCATGCGCAAAGCCGACCTCCATACGTCATACTGCTTCCGTGTACAACAGTGAGCGCAAGCTACATTAAAGTGATTATTACATTTTGAAGGCCTTTGTTCACCCCCCGGAGCCGTGTGAGACACTTTAAAAAAAAAAAAAAATTTTATGGATAGGCGCTTTTTATTTAACTTCTTTTGAACTAATGATAATTTTGGTGCTAATTTAAATTTTTGGGTGAACTAACCCTTTAAGTTTGTTATGAACATGCTTTGAATTCCACAGGCTCAAGCTCGCTGCCACCGGATCGGTCAAAGCAAAGCAGTGAAAGTATATCGCCTTATTACACGAAACTCATACGAGAGGGAGATGTTTGACAAGGCCAGTCTGAAACTGGGATTGGACAAGGCTGTTCTGCAGGACATCAACCGCAAGGGCAGTCTCAATGGGGTGAGGGATCCACAACTTTTAACTTGATCTTCTAGTGATGAATTGAGAAAATGTATTTGCCAAAAGTGGAATAGCATATCCAAGACTTGTTGGTATTAAAGGCATAGTTCACCCAAAAAGACTCGTGCGTGCAGACAACTCTGTCATCGTTTACTCGCCTACATGCCAATCCAGACCAAACCTGTGGAGCATAAAAGATTAGGACAGTATTGTCTAATTACTTTGCCTTCTTCTTTCAGGTTCAGCAGCTCTCTAAGATGGAGGTGGAAGATCTTCTCAGGAAGGGAGCGTACGGGGCGCTTATGGATGAGGAAGATGAGGGCTCTAAATTTTGTGAAGAGGATATTGATCAGATCCTGCAGCGACGCACACAGACTATCACAATCCAGTCTGAGGGGAAGGGATCAACTTTTGCCAAGGTGCACATCTCGACATACACTACCATTAATATTTTGGGTCTATAAGATTTTTAAAATGTTTTTGAAAGAAGGCTCACCAAGGCGGCCTGTATTTGATCAAAAATACAGTAAAAAAGGTAATATTGTGTAATATTACTACAATTTAAATAGTTAATTATTTTGTATTTTAGTGTATGTTAAAATGTAATTTATTGCTGTGATGTAAAGCTGAATTTTCAGCATCATTACTCCAGTCTTCAGTGTCACATGATCCTTCAGAAATCATTCTAATATGATGATTTGCTGCTCATGAAACATTTCTTGTTATTGCCAATGCTGAAAACAGTTGTGCTGATTCATTTTTTGTGGAAACAGTGATACAGTTTTCCAGGATTCTTTAATGAATAAGAAGTTTGAAATGAAAGTCTTCAAATCGTTAATTATCACTTTTGATCAAAGTTAAATTTCTTAAATTCCTAACTTCCTGCTAAATAAAAGTATTAAATTCTTTCAAAAACAATTCTTACTGACATCAAACCTTTGTGTCAACTTGAGATTTGCAAAACTGATTTACAAAAAACAATTGCCAATGTTTTTTCTCTTGGTATCTCTGTTCATATTTTTGTGTTCAGTGCTGTTGGTCATAAATATGGTAGATGAGTGGAAAAGTCATGTGAATGAAAAAGCTGAATAAGCGTTGCATATATCAGTATAACACAGGCTTTGATGTGTGATCTCTATCTTAAAATAAGTGTTCATAATCCTTTATTATTTACCAATTGCAGGCTAGCTTTGTGTCTTCAGGGAACCGTACAGACATCTCTCTGGATGATCCAAACTTCTGGCAGAAGTGGGCAAAAATTGCTGAACTCGAAATTGACTCCAAGGCAGAAAAGGTAAAAATCGTGATTTTTAAAAGCCAAAGCTTTGCATATATGAGCTCCTCCTGACTCAGGTGGTGTAATGCAAGAGAATCAACTCATAGACTAGAGAGAGAATATAAAGGTAATTTGAATATCAGCCGAGTCAAAACAGATGGGTTGCTTTAATGTGTTTGCATATTGGTGACATTTAAGGAGTACAATATTTAGAAGGCAACACTTTCTGACTAGTGTCTGTGTCTTCCAGGAGAGTCTGGTGATCGACACCCCTCGCGTAAGGAAGCAGACTCGTCATTATAACTCGTTTGAGGATGATGAACTGATGGAGTTCTCTGAACTGGACAGCGACTCAGAAGAACGACCCTGTCGCACAAGACGTCTCAGCGATCGCAACAGACGCTACCTCCGAGCGGAATGCTTCAGAGTGGAGAAAAACCTTCTCATTTTCGGGTCAGTGCTTAATTTGTTTTCGGCTGCCCACTCATTCCTTCTGGGTCACCTTCTGTTGCCCTACAACAGGCTGTTAATGAAGTGACTGTTTTTAAACAAGACAAAAGCTAAAATATTAATCTAAGACCGTTTTCTGCCATTACATGTGCAGATCAATCTGACCGAATAAATATTGGAGCCATAAATTAGACAATATGCAGGTTATACATCTCAGACCGATGAAATGTTTGCTGTGTGTACAGGTGGGGTCGCTGGAAGGATATTCTCAATCATGGGCGTTTTAAATGGCACCTGACGGAGCGAGACATGGAGGTGCTGTGCAGGGCACTTCTAGTCTACTGTGTTCGCCATTATAAGGGAGACGACAAAATTAAGAGCTTCATTTGGGATCTGATCACACCCACTAAAGACGGACACAATCAAGCACTACAAAACCACTCAGGTTATTAATTATTTTGTTCACACTCTCAGTTATTTTTTTTTATCAATTCATTCATTCATTCTTTTTGAGATGACTTTATTCAGGATCTGTTGTCATTTAAATAAAACAATAAATTAGTCAATTAATCAGAAACCATGCTGAAGGTCTCAATTTTTAAAAGTTTTTTTAAATAGGTTTTTAATTGCATTTTCAAATTTAATTTTTTTAAAAATAAATGTAATTAATTCATTGATTACTAAATACTCCATTTTCTTGTAATATTACATTTAAATTTGAATGTCCATATATATACATGAGTAAAAATATACACAGTATTCTTTCTTAAACTTTGAAGAAGTTACATCAAAATGCTTTCACTGCTTGAATCTGCTAAATCTTTTGTGCTGAAATTGATTGACAGTCAATGTATTTAAACAATGAAATGATTAATTACCATTAATTGAAGTTCAATTAATCATAAGCATCCCTAGTTCTTAGTTATTTGTCTATTTAAATAGAATTCAATATATGTCATGAAATGCATTTGACCTATCCAGGTCTGTCTGCTCCTGTCCCACGGGGTCGTAAAGGCAAGAAGCTGAAGAACCAGTTGAGTCCACCTGAGCTGAAGAATGCAGACTGGCTGGTCCACTGTAACCCAGAGGTTGTGCTTCAGGATGACAGCTACAAGAAACATCTCAAACAACACTGCAACAAGTAAGACTTGTGGATATTGTGTAACATATCAGCAAAAGTACATTTTGCATCATAATCATATCACATAAATAGTAAGTACTTTAATCAGGGTGCATAGTTAAAATTTTCATGCATCCTGTCAGTCATGAAATTATATTTGTCATTATTAAATTCAATTTCAATATAATGAGATCAGACAAATTGTAATTTATATATAAATTTAAAAAAAAAAAAATATATATATATAAGTGTGTGCTCTGATAACATCATGATTACAGGGTTTTAAATGTGTGATCATCATGTATCTCGTCATAAACAGGGTGCTACTGAGGGTGCGGATGCTGTACTATCTGAAGGTCGAAGTGCTGGGGGAGGCTTCTAATCAGGCTCTTGAAGGGATCCCAGCCAGGTACTACATGACACACAGTCTCTCTTAACCCCATGCATACTTCATTAATTCCATATCAAACTGTTGTCATTGTAGAGTGGCTTAATATGTAAGCATCTGTGTGTTTTCTGCAGTAAACTGGAGGTAACCCTGCCTGATATTGACTACATTGAGATCCCTACAATATGGTGGGATGCTGAAGCGGATAAATCGCTGCTTATTGGAGTTCACAAACATGGTGAGACATCATCAAAGAATGGGTGCAACCGTTACACCCAGTTTTATGATGCAATTCTTGTGCATATGCAGTATAGCAAGGGAAATCTGTGCAGGCACAAATACATAAGTCATTTTTTACTTTTTAGCAGAGATGGGATGCATTTGAATGCAATTACAGTATCTTTTTATATGATTTAGATGGTCACATGGTTCATATTGACTTCCTCTTGCTTTCACCATGTGCATTAACTTCTCTTTGTGTCCCATGCAGGGTATGAGAGGTATAACGCCATGCGTGCAGACCCTGCTCTGTGTTTCCTGGAGCGAGTGGGTATGCCTGATGTCACTGCATTGACGGTAGAGCAAAGTGGAGCAGAAACTGCTTCAGATGTACCTGATAGGTAATATGCTTTTAAATGAGCAGCAGAGATATAACAGTCGTGCCTCTTGGCTCTTACAACCATAAACACGCTTCTTCTTTTGCAGTATCAGCAAGAGTGATACAATCAAAGAGGAGAACGACATTAAGTCTGAGGAATTAGAAGAGAAAGTAGAGATCAAGGTAATAATAGGAAGTCGAAGGAATGTGAAGTCGGATTAATTTTGCTAAATGTCTTAACCAAATTCTCAGACTGTTCATTTAAGTAAAGGTTTCTTTTACAAAGGAGGAACCCATGACAGAGGAAACAGGGAAAAATTACAATACAGTGACAGGTATTGAAACCTTCCTTATCTATTTACTTATTTACAGAACCATGAATTGTTTGTAAATACTGTTAAGAGATGGTCACAATAGATTTTAATCGTGCAAAGTTATTTGAGGAGATGATGCCATGTTTCTTTTTAATAAATTCTAAATTATAGTTAAAAATAAAATGTAAAAATATGCAGTTTACTCGAGTTTCCTTTGTCATTAAAAAGTAGCTTTTGTTGTTCAAAAAAAACTTGTATGCAGAGGGCTAAATTCATTTTTGTCATACCTGCCAATGCCATCAGTATTTTTATGCTATAAATATGGATACACAGGGTAGAGTTCTCTAAACTTGAACTTTAGTATACAGGTGAAAAAAAATATTTTTGAAAGTTGTCATATTGCTCTCTATTGCATTGGCATTCATATAAATGTGACACAAATCCAAAGGTGATCACCCCTTAATATTAGGTTGAGTCTAAAGTAGCATTTCTTTTGAAGGGGGATTTATAGGATCTCTCGCAGCAGACCTTGTTGCAGAAGTGATGGAGCAGGGACGGATACAGTGGCCAGCAGGCTCAGCTCTTACAGCACGTCTGCGGCGCCTCATTACTGCCTATCAGCGTTATACACGCCGTGAGCCGCTTCGTCATGATTTCCTCTTACACGAGGGAATTGCACCTGTGGCTTGGCAAATAGGAGAGTTTAGGCACTGCACTACTGAGCCTGATCCGCTCTTTTTGGAGTGGCAGCGAAGGTGAGTAATGTGACTCTGTGACTCAGTGATGTGGTTTTATTGTTTACAGTTATTTTCTCAAGATGAAATCAAAGACTTTAATCTGCTTTTTTTTTTTAACATATGCAAATGGGAACCAGCTCCTTTGGGTAAAATTTTAGTACTTTCGCTGCCTTCAAGTCATGTTGAAATAATCATAATAAACACTAAGCATTAAGAGGATGAGGAACATCAACAAAGTGAACAAAAAAATTAGAGCAGCATGATAAAAGACAAAATCAACCGCTAAACACTAAATTGAATTATTGGCTAGCATAAAATCCTTGAGGACTGTATAAACATTGAAATGTTACCGGTCATGATGAACATTGGAAGAATAGTATTTTGATTCTGCATTGGGTAAGAGATTAATAATGTGTGCTGAAAATCAGTTCATTCAATTTTTGAGGCAAATTTTTTTTTTTTTTTAGTTAACATATCTTCTTTGACACAGGTGGACACGTCGAGAGCAGGCTGACTTCAATCGCACAGTGTCCTCGTTTGGAGTAGTATATGACCCAGAGAAGAAGACCTTAGACTGGAGCCAGTTCCGTGCCCTTGCTCGATTAGAGAGGAAGACGGACGAAAGCTTAGAGAGATATTTCCACAGCTTTGTTTCAATGTGTCGAACTGCATGTAGACTGCCGCCCAGAAAAGATGAAGGTAAAATGGATATTTGAGTTGATAGTTTGGTGAAGCTAATAATAATAGAAGCTAAATCTGTCATAATGTATACACAACTTCTTGTCTCATGTAGGTAATGTGGATCCATCACTGTTTGTGGAGCCCATTACAGAAGAGCGAGCTGCCCGAACATTATATCGTATCGAGCTTTTGAGAAAGGTCCGTGAGCAAGTATTGCGCCACCCGCTCCTGGGGGCACGACTGCAGCTATGTCGCCCTAGTCTTTACTTGCCCGTCTGGTGGGAGTGTGGCAAACATGACCGTGATCTTCTCATTGGGGTTGCTAAGCATGGCTTGAGTCGAACAGACTTCTACATCCTCAATGACCCCCAATTATCCTTCCTGGAGGCCCACCGGAACTATGTTCATAAAGAAAACCACAGATATTCTGTCCCAGGCTTGCCCCACCACCATTGCTGCTTGTATGATGCCAACCTTGGGCATTGTCAGTCCCCACAACCTCCAGAGTATCACCACACACCAACACAACTCGTCCATTCTCATGGGCATCACCAGCCCACAGAAGTGGTGGCATCAGAGTCTGGAAGTTCCTTAGGGATAGGTACAGGAATCAGGGAAGGATTTTTGGATTGCCCTCCACTGGATGACTCTCTGGAGTTGGGGTCTTTACAACATGAAGGCTTGACATCAGACACACTACATAGCAAGTCTGGTAAAGAGGCCTTCAATGGATTCCCATTCAATTCTGCAACCGGTGGGCAGAATATGCTAAATTCGTACGGTGTCCAAGGGGAGCTAAATGGGTCTCAAGGAGACATGGCGGACTCCATAGCTGGGAAACTTCGCAGCGATGTTCTGGTGGGAGAGCAAGGGTCTTCTGAGGAGACTGGCTTAATGGCTCCTTCTGTGGAACTAGATGAACTTCAAACTCCATGGGAAAGCTCGGACCATGCTGAAGCCTCTGACATGTTCAACGAGACTGATCCCATCTTGGGAGCACAAACTTTGGAACCCAGCTTTCTCGATGCTCCTCAACCAGAAGATGGACGCGAGGGTGATGAAACGCTCACCGACTGTTTGAGCATGCCTAGTTCAGACTCTCAAAGCAACCCTATTGAACCACTGGCACCGAGCTTCATGTTGTTCAAAGACCTTAATGTTGGAGAGACTTCTGTGGATCAGACAGATCTATCAGCCAGTCTTCCAGAATATGTTCCACCACCACCACCTCTTGGACTCCCGGATGTGAGTCTTGACCAGACAGATCCCATTAGTGAGGAGCAAGAGGACAAGCTTAGTGATTCCAGCATCACACATGGTGTTCTCAGTCCAGAAGAAGGAGCTGAAAGCTTAGGGTTTCAAGATCTTTCCCCAGACAGCCCAAAGACAATGGATACTCAAGATGAGATGCCTTCAATAGAGTCTCCAAGCGAAAATTGTCTCGAGGAATCCCAGAAAGGGGACTACAAGGTGCCATTTGAAGATTCCAATGGAGATTTGAAAGATCCTTGTGAAGTGGCCTTGGATGAACCTTACGAAAAGCCTCCAACAGAGCCAGAAAAAGTGCCTTTAGAGGAGTCTTACGATTTGACTTGTGACGAGACCCTGCAGGAACCTTGCGAAGGGTTTCAGCAAGACACAGCGGAACATCAGTTGGTGGAAGAACCCTGCAAAGAACCATCAGAGCCAATTGAAGAGTGCAATCTAACTAACACTACTCTCTCAACAGATTACCCTATGCCGCCTTCACTCCCATCATCTCCTACTACCTTACCTGACACCTCTGAATCGCCGGGCCTTGACGCAGTCCCAAAACAAGAGCTCCTCATGGATCCAGTGGTGTCAGATGTGAAGCCTGAGCCAGATAGCACTACGCAGACCCCTCACCTTGAGCAGACTGAGGTTTTGGAAGTAAAGGACAAGATAAAAGATGAAAGTGCAATGGCACCAGGTACTGTGGCTGTAGACTTTAGCTTTCTACCTTTTATGTTTTGTTTCTGATTCCGTTAGTTTTATGTAGTAGTTCCAGGTCTATTGAGTTTCTTAATATTTCACCACATTCTTTACTAAACTAGTAATGGCAGCTGAAGCTGATAACCCTTATGGAGAAAAACAGCTTAAATCAGTCTGAGATGGTTTGCTGGCCAAGTTGGTGTTTAGCTTGTTGGACAGCTGTTTTCCAAGCCTGACCTCTTGATAAGTGTCCAAAAACTAGCAAAACTTGATCGGCTTACACAACAATTTTAGGGACAAACCTATTTTAGAAGAAAAAGACAATGATATAAGCGGAATAACTGACTCCTGACTGTTGAATTATTGATAATTATTGATGTTGTGGCTGCATTACCACCTTTAGTGTACATTAAATAATTCAATGGTTTGTCATCACTTATTTCTAATTGTTGGCAAACATTATCAGATTTGCTTGATGGAATCACTTAATATTTTTAATATAATAAATAAAACAAATTACATGCTGATAAATGATTGTTTCTCACTATGTTCATAAAACCTAGTGGAAAACATAAGGAATAAAGAATTAAAAAAAACAGTTTTAGTCTCTTTCTCTCCCAGCATGCTTTGAATAATAATTCTTGTCATTTTTTTCTTTGTATTTTTAGCATTATTTGGAGATGTTGATGGACCACGCTTTGTATTGCCCATGTGTGAGATGGCAGACAGTGTCCATGAAATAAGGGAACCAACCATTGCTCAGCTTCTACAAGAGAAAGCACTCTTCTCCTTCTCAGAGTGGCCGAAGGTATTATGTTGGTGATTGTTTCCTGCTTATATTATTATCCTGTACGATGCTTCATTAATTAGTTATGCTGAAAAAATATTTTGTATTTTCTGCTGAAAATGTGAAAGTCTTCTCTTAAAATGAAATAAGTAAGACTGTTGTCAGCCCACAGCATACCACTAGATATGTACCAGTCACGTTTATGCAGTTAGACCCACTTCATACCCTGCTTTGTCTTTTTGCCCCCTACAGGACAGAGTGATCATCAACCGTATTGACAGTATCTGCCACACTATCTTAAAGGGGAAGTGGCCTTCCTCCAGTCAACAGTATGAGTCTCCCACCTCATTGGCTAACACCAGCAGTGCCCACCAGAGGGCAGGATTTCTGTCTACCAGAATGCCTATTTCTCAGAGCCTTAACTATAACCCACACACAGTACCCCACTTAGCAAAGGTAGGTGTAAGATCACATCATCAGACAGGAGGTTTTTCAAGGTGTCTGCAAATCCTTAAAAAGTTTTTGGAAATATATGGAAATAAATTATATGAATGGAAAAACCTGGAAATATCAGGGTATTTTCAAAGTGTGATTTTGAGGCCTGAAAGTCATGGAAATTAATCAGAAAGAGCTTTATTGCCAAGTATGTTTGCACATACAATGAAGTGTCTAAATTGTGGTTCCTTTGACAAAAATGATTGCAATTGATTGTTTTAATCCATCTCACAAATGTAAATATCATCAAATGGCTAATAAATATCAGGACTGCATTTGTTTATTGCCCAGCATTTAATATCATTCAAGCAGTTAAACTGATCAAAGCTGTAGTTTTGGTAAAAACCATGTTATTTACTTACTTAATATGAATTTTCCTTCTTTGGTTTGTTGCAAAATTGGTTGAAAAACGTTTTCGATTTAATTAACTGAAACATGAAGATATTCTAGCTTTATTGTATTGATTTGTAACTCATGTCCCAACAGGAGCGGTTAGTGGCCCCAGCATTTCTCCCTGAGCTCAAACGTCCAAGACGGGGTTTTGAATTTGAGGCAGAAGTTCTTGCCAAACCAAGCAATCTTGGAGAAAAGATCCAGGTTGGCGTGCATCATCGTGCTAACGCTCTCCTCCTTAATGGCTGGCAGGACGCCGCTATTGACCTCTCCAAACCAACAGAGCTAACAGTTGGTGGAGACAGTGGGCCAATCGGTCAGATGAGCCACACTGTCCAGTCAGCGCCACATAAAATAACTGGGATAGGCTCCATACAAGGCTCACTGGGATTGGATATGGCTGGCATTTTGCAGGCTGGACTGATTCACCCAGTCACGGGGCAGATTGTCAACGGCGGTCTTCATCGTGATGATTCAATGTTGAGACGGAGGAAAGGACGGAGAAGAAATGTGGAGACTCCTGATCTCAGCTTTATAAAGGGACGAAGCGTGAACTTGCCTGACCAGCAGGTTTGTGGAACCACTTATCAATGAAGTGGATAGAGTAGGACATTCAAAAATTGAAAATGGCACCATGTTATTCTAGCATTGTACTTTTTGTTTTGTGAAACATAAAAAGAGATGCTTGGCAAATCTGCTCTTCTTTTCTGTACAAAGAAAACTCATGATGATTTATCTCGCCAAGCTAAAAGTAAAAGCACCATCAAAGATTAAATTCTTCATTAGAAGGGCAATGGGGTACTTTTTTGATGTTACTTTTTTTGGGGTACTTTTTATTTTTTAACTAATTTTGTTTTTAAAAAGATTTACCAGGAAAATATTTAAAATATGAAAGATCTTATATGGTCTCTTTTGTGATGTTGAAAGAAGCTTATTTTGAAAGCTTTTATTTCAAACTTGGATCTTGCCATGAAAATAGCCTTAATTATATTAATAAATCAATATAACTGGCAAGTGTTTTGTTTATCTTTATATACTCCACAGAGCGGGTCAGAGAGTATCAGCCACCCTGTTGTGTCCTCCACATCCTCCCAGTCAGAAGGCCCTCCAGCCACCCCGACTACACTTCCTACTCAGCCTCCAGCCTCAGAGGCCATGAATGTGAGCTTGGACAGGGAAACAGCCAATAAAGGCCTAATTGAATGGCTCAGACAAAACCCCAACTACAACATGGAGCTTTCTGCTTTTCCGGTAAGTTAGAAACAGAACTAAGTTTTATTTTATTAGAATAAAAAGTTATAATATTTCTGTGACATTTTCGTTTGAGTATTATAAACATCTATTAAGTTCCTATTAGATAAAGTTAAGGATCATATTTTTGTCTTACATTTTAAATTCCGTTTTACTTGAAAGTACGTCACATTACTACTGAAACAGATGTATATGTTAATGCAATTTCATGTTGACTTTAGTGGTATTATGTTTTTATTTGTGTGTACGTTTAAGGTGATTTAAAAAAAAAAGTAGCAAGGTTGATAACACTTTTTTTTTTTCATCTAGAAAGATATTTGAATGATCATAAATGTAAATGTTTGTTGTATACAGCTTATATAAGCCTTGAAATAATATAATTGATATTTAATAGATTACTGTAACAATTTATATTGCACGTCTTCCTTAGTCTCAGAATGCAAGCATGTTGCACAGTTTCTTGGAGCGTCCGAAGCAGAGAAGGCATCGCTGCAAAGACCCAACCAAGCTCGATGTCAACTCTCTAACTGGGGAGGAGAGAGTCCCAGTAGTGCACAGAAACACAGGCCGCAGGGTAACAAAAACATGCATAGATACTCATATATCCTTACTTGTTTGTTTGTTTGTTTGTTTCATTTAATTTTGATGCCACAATTCTTCTGGTTGCAGCTTGGAGGCGCTATGGCTCCAGCCATTAAAGAGCTCTCCCGATGGCTGGATGCAAACTCCGAATACTCTGTGGCTCCTGATTGGGCAGATGTGGTGAAGCACTCGGTGAGTCATATATATTCTGTATAGAAAGAGGCTGGAACCTGCAAGTAGCAGAGCAGAGAATGTTCCAGTGAAGCCACTCGTGAATATGTAGTAAACTGAACATAAGCTAATAGTCAAGGTTCATCATCTAAATGTTGACTAAAATGTATTGGTTCAGAGTGGAAGAAATACGGAAATGTAATAAGATCACAATCTTACTTAAGTCCTTGAGCTGGTGACCCTCCTTATAGTTTGATTTGGACAGAAAGAAAGCATCTGCTAAATAACTAGCAATTGAAATTTTTACTTACAACCATTTCACAGTTCTGTGTGAAAGGCATCTACATAAAATCCCCCATAGGATGTCTATAATAGTCTATACTATAGTTTATAATATTCTATTGTATATTAATTTATTATTAGGGTAGGTAGGGTAAGTCTGAATTTGTTTATATTTGTTTGTTAATATTTTATCATTTAAAGGGTTAGTTCACCCAAAAATGAAAATTAGCCCATGAATTACTCACCCTCAAGTCATCCTAGGTGTATATGACTTTCTTCTTTCAGACGAATCCAGTCGGAGTTATATTAAAAATTGTCTTTGATCTTCCAAGCTGTTTAATGGCAGTCAGCGGGTGTTGCAGTTCATCAGTCCAAAAGAAGTGAAATAAACTGTTGGCGCAAGCTAGATTAAAGTGATTATTACATTTTTAATATGGATATTTTTCTTACAAAAATGCATCGATTCGCTAAGGAGGCCTTTGTTCACCCCCCGGAGCCGTGTGAGGCACTTTTTATTATGGATGGATGCACTTTATTTCACTTCTTTTGGACTGATGAACTGCAACACCCGCTGACTGCCATTAAACAGCTTGAAAGATCAAATAATTTTTTTTTATATAACTCCGACTGGATTCGTCTGAAAGAAGGAAGGCATATACGCCTAGGATGGCTTGAGGGTGAGTAAATAATGGGTTAATTTTCATTTTTGGGTGAACTATCCCTTTAAAATATAAAATTTTGTTTCACTGAAATCCATTCCATTGGAATCAGAATACAGAATTTCAGTGATTTCTGATAACTAATGATTTTGAATGAAATTACTTTATATATCATATGTGTGCACATTTTTACTGCAATTAACCAATCAGAAAAAAAATTATTTCAGAGAGTTGATGATTTTGAATGAAACTGCTTTAAACTTTATGCCATATATATGTGCCATTTTTATGTCTTTGACTTCCTAGATGCTGAATGAAATTGTTCCTTGTAAACCAACACTAAGTTTTCGTATCCCACTATCCCAGGGTTTTCTGCCGGAGGGCAAATTCACACGCATCCTCTCTGGACCCGTATGTCGGGATCCCGGTCCACGTAGGAGAGGCAGGCGACCCCGCAGCGAGATGCCCAAAGCCCACGAGCTCCCCGCTGGCATGGGTCCACTCTTCATGAACGGTGGGCTCATTGGCAGCATGGATCTGGTTAGCTTACCCAGTCTCCGCAATGTCCCTGGCATCCCGCTAACCGGTATCATGGGCTTTCCTCATGGTTTCGCCACTGCCATACCATCAGGAGATGATGCCAAGAATGGACTCAGCATGCTGCCCATGATGCTCCACGGCATGGCGGCCGTGCAGCCGCCCATGTACAGCGCTCACATGAGTGGAATGATGAATCAACCACTGTCCACTGCAACGTCCACTGTAACTGCATCCTCCACTACAGCGAGCGTGACTTCTACGAACTCCGCAACCGTAACCTCATCCTCCAACCCAGCAGATAGTTCGGATTTTGCACCTGCGCATGATAACGCAAGCTCTCCCATGAGCACGGAGAATGGGAATATGGAGGACGCAAAGCAAGGAGGGGAAGAGAAGAAAGTGTCCGCTTCGGTGTCTACAGCTGCGGCCACTAGCAGCAGTAGTAGTAGTAGCATCACAAGCACTGGCAGCCATTTGACATTTAACCCTTTTCTAATCCCAGGAATGTCACATAGTCTGTTGTATCCTCATATGTTCTTGCCACCGGGCAGTATAATGGCGCTGCCCGCCATGACCGCAGCAGACAGCACGGGCAGCCCCAAGAGGAAGAGGAAGAAGGTTAGGGAGGAAGGACCAGAGGAGGGAAGCAGCAATGTTGGTGTGCATATAGATGGTGTGGAATCGAAGCAGGTTAAAGACGAACAGACACCCGAACAAAAGAGCCAAGAGGGCAGAATGGAAGAAGGCAGACCTGATGTAGATTTAGCTCGGGTCAAAGATCCTTCTGAGGATAGAAGTACTGAGGAAAAGGACAAAAACGAGATGGGAGAGGAACCTAGGCCAAATGCTCAAGGCTTGTGTGTCAGTGGAGACTAGAATGCATCCTCATGTTTGGGCCACAGTACTTTTGTGTGTGTCGTGTCGGTAAAAGTTTGTGTATAGGACTTTGATTATCAACGTATTGTTTATAGATCTGCCCTTGTAATTTCACTGACATCTACACTTCCTTCTGGGTGTGTGCTAAAGATATAGACACTTGAAGCATGCAAACATTCAGAGGTCTTGAATCCTGAAAAATCATCATTGGTGTTAGCGTGTACCTTTTGCATCATGGGAATGGATACTCAGACATTTCTGTCTGTTGACGGAGAACGCTCTTAGTGACCCCAGCATTTTCCCCCTTCGATTAGGTGTTATTCACTAGCATCTTTCACAGATTCTCAGAAAGCGGTAGGATGTTGGTATTGTGCAAAAAACAGACGGCAGTCTCACTTCATATTCGTGTTTCCGATCACGCTCTTATAGTTGCATAAGACCTAGATTTATGTTTTGAAACCTAATGCAAAGAAAACACTCGTTCCATTGGTAGATTACCAGCAGAGCTGCATCTGATACAGTCTCGATGGACCACAGTATTTTGTTCTTAGTTGCTTGCTGCTATGTATTCATTTTAGTGAAGATTTTAACCTAAATCTTTTACAAAGCTATAGGTGGCATGAGTGCAACATGGTGAGTGCAATGGAAACTCAAAAAGAGGCTTGAAATTGATGGCAAAGAACAATCCTGAGATTGATTTATCTTTTGTTTTGTTTGTCATATTGTTTTTGATGTCGTTTCCACATGGTTGCTTTGATAAGATGCCCATTTATAGAGATGGCTATATATACTTAGAGGTGCTGCATGTTCAAGGGCGAAGGTTTAGTGCCGTAGATGAGACTCTGTTCTAAATGGTATTGGTACACGGGCTTATAAAATAAGTCTGATGCAAAACAGGTGGTAGAACATTGCGAGAACTGTGTGTTGTTGTTTTTTTTAGTGAATTTAAAGGGATAATTCACCCCCAAATTAAATTTCTGTCATCATTTCGGCCTTATGTCATTCAAACCTGTATGAATTTCTTCTGTGGAGCACAAAAGCAGCATGCTTCCATTAAGAAGTGGCTGTCAAGCTTCATAAATGGCCATGAAACTACTCCATACAACTAATTTTCTCATGCAAAAGCTACCTTGTGTCTTTAAAAGACTTGGAATATAGTGCATAATTAGTTTGGGCTACTGTTATAGTACGTTTTTATCTTTCTTGAAGTTTGATAATCCCTGGTCATTGTGCATTTGTTATGTGGGGAAGAGCAGCGTAAACATTCTTCACAACATCTCCTTTCGTGTTCCACAGTCATACAAGTTTGGAACAACATGAAGAGGTGAATAAATTATGCCAGAGAGTTAAGTTTTGGGTGAAATATTCCTTCACCCAAAATAAGACAAAAATATCTTTGCAAATACCAATTTTTTTTGCCTTCACTAAAGCCCTTGGGTTGATGGGGTTGACAGAAAGATGTCAGACTGTCTCGTTCTCATGGGTTACATTGCTCTTATTTTCTCTGGTGCATTTGAAAATACTGTAGAGTAAAACATGTAAATCTTGTCGTTATTTGTGTTTACAAGCACACCGTTATTTTTTTCCTTGCCAGTAAGTCTCATATTGGGAGGGTGTTTAAAAAAATCAGCACTAGTGTTTCTTTTATTTGAAATACTTTACACTAGCTGATAACCAGAGATAATTTAACTAATTTTCTCCCCCAGTCTCAACAGGGTCTCTCTTTTGTGGGAGTATTCATTTTCCACCTTCTCATCTTACTTGGTTATTATTATTTTTTTCTGTTTTCAGATGTGAAAACATTTTTGCACAGTCTTTTTGGTGAATGTTTACCTGTAATTGTGTTCCGTCTTGTTTGTTTATGTGTGTTCGTGTGGACGCATGCGCACGCTTGCACATGCCACTTCCTGTACATTTTGACCTATGTAAACCTGTACTGTAAATTTCTTGTCTAAACAAACAAAACGAAACAAAAAAATCATGGTCACCTTCAAAAAACATGCTGTTGTTGCCTTGTCACACTATTTGTGACACAATGATGTAATTTATTTTTCTTTTATTTCTTTTTTTACTTTGTCAAATTCACCAAATAGGACATTTCCCCTTTCTTATCACATCTATTTTGTGTTCTCTTTGCAATGCCTTATTTAGCAGTTTATATATGGATGTTTGTTACATCTTTATGTTGGAAAATATATATCAAAGTACTTGTGTACGGTGTCAACGTTTTGGGAAGCAGTCTCAGTCATACAAGTTCAAATCTAGTTGTACAGATACTGGCCTTGTGTGCATTTTTTGTGTCTTTTGAAATAACATAATCAGTTCACTTTCTTCTCTCAACTCATTCAAAGCAGTATTGCAAAGCACAAAGTCTTCATGACTTTCGAAAATGTCTCGTTGTTAGTCTGAAAGCTTACCTCAGATCTTTCTCTATAGTCCCTACACTGCTTTCTGAGTAACATCTGGTGAACAAAAACCCACAGACCTCGTCTAGACATCTGGATGATTGTGTTATCCTTGCTTTTGACGTTTTGATAAGTTCGTAACTCCATTAAAGTCCTTCAACATTTCAGGAGAATCACAGCCGGTATATGTACACCTGGAGAGTTCAGACTGTTAGACTGAGAATGCTGCGTTGCTGGTTGTAAGCGTATTGATTTTTATAAATGTACTGTTTGTTGGAAATGTACAGTTTGAAAACTTAAAAACACTCCAGTTGAATTCAATTTGAATCAAGTTATTTGAATAGAAAGTCTGGGCTCTATCTGGGCTCATTTGAAGATCAGTGAATATATATTCAATTCTGTGTCCTAGTAACACTCATTTTATCTTTTTGCCTAGCTAAAACTGTTTGGTTGTTCATCCAAAAGTCTGATCAATTGAACCTGTATTTATTGTTTTACTGTCTCGCCATTGTCTCCGTGTAATTGCAACATGTACATAAACTTGCTGTTTCCAGGTTTTGGATGTTTTCCTATATGGGATGTAGTAGACACACTGATCCATTTTACTTTCCATAAAAGCTGAACAGTTCTGAAAACGGTAATGTTGACTATTTGTGTGTGTAAATACATCTCTGGATAGTTGCTCCCAGATACACTTGAGAGCAAAAAAGCCTTCCCATTGGCCCCCTGCCTCCATTTTACATGGATTGATCAAAGGGAGATCATTGTACCGGTAGTTGCTTTGCATGAATTGCAACATGTACATAAACTTGCTGTTTCCAGGTTTGGGATGTTTTCCTATATGGGATGTCTACACTGATCCATTTTACTTTCCATAAAAGCTGAACAGTTCTGAAAACGGTAATGTTGACTATTTGTGTGTGTAAATACATCTCTGGATAGTTGCTCCCAGATACACTTGAGAGCAAAAAAGCCTTCCCATTGGCCCCCTGCCTCCATTTTACATGGATTGATCAAAGGGAGATCATTGTACCGGTAGTTGCTTTGCATAGTGCATTTCCAATGAGGAGTGAGAATTGGGAAATTTGTGGTACCATATGCCCGTGTCATTTTGATCAGACTCTGTCAGCATTCAATATGTCAGTGGCAGTGTTTGCATGTCAGGACCTGCTAAAAGACCCAGTCACAACGGCCGAGGCAGAGCAACATCCCATACTTAAAAGTGAATGCAAGTCAGGCTACTATGGGGTGTTTCTTATAACAGCTGCTTAGCCAGACAGAATAAAAGCAGAACTGCGCTTGCGTCACTGTTGAGCCTGTGTTGGAGGTTCTGTTCCTCAAGATCTTGTAGAATAACATTGAATTAATTGGATACAACTAATGGTCAGTGTTCATGACAAGGAAGTACTGTAAGTTTGTAGTTACATTGAAGCAAGTGCACTCTATTGGGATGAGTACTCAAGACAAAAAGTGAACTTATACTCTTGGTATGAAATCTGCAGCAATGCTGAGAGTCATGGGTGTTTTTTTATTATTTATTTTTGGATATTTTGTTTGTTTTTGTTCTAATAGTTCCTGTACACGGATGTGGACCAATCATATAATTCAAACCATGGTATGTGATCTTTTATTGTGCAATAAAAGATGACTTTGAACTTTCGTTTTTAACTAGTTCTAGTTTCTTGTTTTAGTATTTTGTTTTATTCATTTAATTGAGCAAATAAGAACGCACGTTTGGAAAAAATTATATACTTTATACATTTGTGTCTTTGAAAGTATGGTGTCTGTGTGTCGCGTTTTAATTTTAATTGCATGTAATTACGTGTAAATATAATTAGTAATAAATGTAGTTAAGTATACAAGATAAACATGTCAAATAATACCAGATAAGTATTATATATATATATATAATGAGGTTTAAAAAAAAAACCAAGCAACAAACCGGGACATTTTTGTAAAATTGCAGACAATTCTCATTAATACATTTGTTTATTCAGCTGTTACAGATTAAGTACCGAAATAAAGAGTAAAACGGGGGGATCTTATTATATTGTATGTATATTCGTTATATTTTATGTAATGGTTTGGTAAACACTGAGGAGGTTTAAATCCTCCACGCTGTCTCGCTGTCGTCTTTGTTGTTGTAATGACGCCATCTACTCCTCTTCTCTCATTGGCTGAGAGGAGCCCGTTTTCGCGCCATTCGTGTGTCTCGGCATTGTGGGATAGCATCAGGAGGTCAGCGGCGTTCCGGGTCAACTCCGTGTCTCACGTAAACCATTTTCTCTGGACGTTAACGGATTTTAACGGATTCCAGCAATGCGCGGAGATGAAACGGATTTGGAGTCCGTTAAATCAGACGATGGTTCGGTTCGGAGGAGTCTCGAGGCGCTTTGTCAGGAGCTCAATATGGACGAAGAGACGGCGGCAGAAGCGCTTCAGAACTTCAGCTCCATCTGGAACACTTACACGCTCGAGGTTCGACTAATTTACATTCAAACGACAACCTAATGACAGGAACAACCGACGCCTCCTGCTCCGCCTTCAACTCCTCCGTGTGTTCTTACAGATATATAGTCAAAATAACCCGTACCAGTTTGGCAACAAGTACGGCATTCACTCTGGTATTCTCTGAAGTAACCATGGTGTGCGTATATGATAACTTGGTATGAATACCAGGATACTACCATAGTACATATCCAAAACACCATGGTCGCACCGAGCTGTTATGCTGGACGAATTTTTAAGTAATACCACGATCAGCGCCCAAAGATATCTCAACGAAAATACCATTTCAAAACCTTTTTATTAGTGTTCTGCGTCTGAATTGACTGAGGATTCCCTGATGTGTCACATGACATAAACACAAAGAGAAGACGAGGAAGTCGTTTAAAGGGAATGCTGGGAAAGATACATTTTCCCACATATTTCTTATTGGTTGCTAGATCTTAGATAGAAGACGACTGTATATTAAATATACTAGTGGTGTTCATTTTATTCAAGCTTAACCCTGTAAAAAAAATTGACATGAAATCTTTTTTTTTTTTTTAGAGAACAGTTTTATTGAACATTTTAGACAAAATATTTTTAATAAGTTTATGCACATGTGTTTTGTGTCAGGCTTCCAATGGCTCTTATAGTATGATATTGTGGAATATAGTGCTCATGCTCAATTAGGAGAAATAAATGTGTCTATTTTATTCAGAGGCCCGAACTATTTGGTGCAGTTGCTGATGTTTATATCTCCAGTTGCTTGTAATGTAAATCAGTTAGATCTTTATAATGGTATAGCAGACTATTTACATAAAATGCTTTTAAATATAAAAATTAATTCTCTCAATGTGTCTTAGTATGATGGTATGCGTAGTTTAATGAGCAAAGCTCTAGTTTTTGTTGTGGGAGGAAACATAACGCAATGCAGTACAATGATGATTGTAAGCTCAAATAAACACCCGGAAGCCTGATTGATCATATTTGATACATTTTTCTGAAAAAAATGATGTATGGATAATCAAATAAACCTAAGTTGCTTTAGTCCAGTGAGTTTTCATCTTGAAATATTACTAACAATATGAAAGTTGTTCTTATGTTTACTTTATAAAAATCATTAGATTTCACAACAAAACGATGTGTAAACCATGACCTGAAGGTGGTCATTTTTACAGTTACATTGAAAGGCCTAAAAATGTATAAACTTCCAATCATAGGACAGAAGGCATGTAATAGATTGTGTATAACATGTTTTTCAGCAAGGTTCTGGTTATGTTGATAATTTATAGGCCTTAGAAATGTATGTGCATCTCATATGATACAGTAGGCTATGTGAGATATTCCCATGTATGTTCATTTGTGTAATGTGTTTGGTTGTGTCAGGGTGATGTCGTTCACTGGTTGGCCTGCTCTCTGTATGCTGCCTGTAGGAAGAGCTCCATCCCCACAGTGGGACGGGGTGTGATGGAAGGCAACGGCGTTTCCCTTACAAGGATCCTGCGTTCGGCGAAGCTCAGGTAAGGATCTCAAACAGACATAGACAGATACCTGCAGGATGGGCGTCGTCTCCTGTAATTTCAGTTTATTTAATGGAAAAGTTTTAGTTGTAGAGTAAAGAGAAACAATGGCAAGAGCATTTATTTTATGCATTCAAGGATTTTTTATATGAAAATGTGAGTGTTGTAATGCTCTCTATCTTCTAGTTTGATCCAGTTCTTCAGCAAGATGAAGAAATGGTCAGACATGTCAAACATCTCTCAGGATTTCCGCAGCCGTGTAGGGCGACTGGAACGCAATTTCGAAGTGTCCACAGTGATTTTTCGTAAATTTGAGCCAATATTTCTGGACTTGTTTCAGAATCCTCAAGGTGAACCTCCCCGCCTGCCTAGAAGCCGCAAACACCGGTAAATCTGCCTGCTTTTTTTCTCCGTTTTTAGCTTTCTTTTGAAGAAGAAAATTGTAACAAATATACTTCTTTCTTTATAGGCGTCTTCCATGCCACATCAGTGATGTCTTCAAGTTCTGTTGGACTCTCTTTGTGTATACAAAAGGTAATTAGACTGAAAGAAGTCTTCCCTGTTTGAACCATAGACTGTCAGTATAGTTTAGATATTACTACTTGCACAGTCTGCGTCAAATAATGCTATTAACTACGTAAAAAGAAATCAGTTAATTATTTCTCAGCCATAATAAATGAATACATTTTGTGAAGGTTTAGCATCAAACAAAACTTAATGCGCTACATTTTTTTGGCACTGTAAAGTTTTTATAATGTTTTAAATAATTTTTAAATGTTTAAAGGGTTAGTTCACCCAAAAATGAAAATTAGCCCATAAGTTACTCACCCTCAAGTCATCCTAGGTGTATGTGACTTTCTTCTTTCAGACGAATTCAGTCGGAGTTATATTAAAAACTGTCTCTGATCTTTCAAGCTGTTTAATGGCACTCAGCGGGTGTTGCATGCATCCGTCCAAAAGAAGTTAAATAAAAAGCACCCATCCATTAAAAAAAAAGCGTCTCACACGGCTCCGGGGGGTGAACAAAGGCCTTCTGTAGCGAATCGATGCGTTTTTGTAAGAAAAATATCCATATTCAAAACGCAATAATCACTTTAATGTAGCTTGTGCCAATAGTCCTACACGGAAGCAGCTCCGGAAGCATGACGTATGAGTTCAGTGCTGCGCATGCGCCGGTGAGTCTCATGAAAACCAACGTTTGTTAACGGGAGCAAAGGAAGCAAAGTTTCCTTACTTTAGCAAAGGAAAACCATATAAACTTATATCGAAATCATATAATTCATTCACACATTCTTCTTTACAAATCCTCGTTTTGTACTTCTAATTAGTGACTGTTGTTTTGTTTTGATCTCTCCGCTGCGTTTCCGTGTGCGTCACTTCTGAGCGGCGCATGCACAACGCCGACGTCCATACGTCATGCGCCCGGAGCTGCTTCCGTGTAGGACTGTTGGCGCAAACTACATTAAAGTGATTATTATGTTTTGAATATGGATATTTTTCTTACAAAAACGCATCGATTCACTACAGAAGGCCTTTGTTCGCCCCCGCCCCCTTTTTTTTCAGAATTCTTGTTTATTTGAAAGAGAAATCTTTTTATAACATTATAAATATCCATTGTCACGCTAAATTTAATGCGTCCACGCTGAAGAAAAGTGTTAATTTCTTTTAAAAAAATTCTGATTGCAAACTTTTGTACACTAGTGTATTTTTATGTATGGACTCCTCTAATTCCGACTGATTTGGCAAAAACCTGGTTGACATTCTGAATGTTTAAGTAAACCCATGACATGATTTCTACTTTATTACAGGTAATTTCCATATGATTGGTGATGACCTGGTCAACTCCTATCACCTCCTGCTCTGCTGTCTGGACCTGGTGTTTTGCAACGCTCTCATGTGCTCCAACAGGAAAGATCTCATCAATGAATACTTCAGAGGTAAGATTCCCTTCACCTCGCTGTGAGAGAATGTTTCTTTGATTAATTGTTGATTTTCTGTTTATAAGTCATTATCCTTGAGAAGGCAGAGTTACAAATGAGTCCATTGATTGCGTTAAGAGTTACTTGCGAGTTAGTGCACTTAGTTTTGAAATATTAACTGAATATGTGAAGTTGTAGTGCATTTAAAACAACTTATATCTCCTAAGTAATGAAATTGAGATCTGTTTGAGATCTTCTATGAAATTGAGATCTGTTTTCTTTCCTGTATTATCTGTTGTAGGCATGTGCCGATTATCGGTTTCAAGGTATACTGCGATTTGAAAATTTCACGGTTTTCACGCTAATATTTCCGTTATACCGTTCCTGCGGTATACCGTTTTTCATGTCCCCTCAAAGACTGAAAGTGTAGGAATCCCTCAGGTTGTGTGCAGTGTAGAGAGTAACACGCTCCCTCCCCCTCCTGTTGGTGCGAGCAAGCGGTCAGTCACGTGTGTGTATGATGGCCGAAGGAGCTTCCTCTAGAACTTACACGATCGGCAACCGGCCGTTTATTGTTTTATTGCTGCCAATCTCTGTTCTGGACTTGCACAAACTGCGTTGCAATGCATATCATTTTCCAAATGTCATTTATGTGAAAATATGAAGTCTGTAAATGCCCGTTAACAGAGGCCAGAGACTCTGAAGACGGATGCACAGAGAAAAATACTGTAGCAGGCAGATCACTCACTGTTCATGATGCACAAACTATTGGAAGAAAATCTATTGGGGTTTATATGGGTGTTTCTGAGGGGAACTGACTGTCTTCAGAAAAGTTTAGATGGTATTTTCTTTTAATCTCGTATAATTCACATTAAAGTGTTTCAGCGCAGCTCTGCTTTGTTTACTGCGATAACCAACGAAACGCTGTATCAGCGCCTCCTGCTGTCAGAGAGTGAATATGCATCCCATTCAGAGCTTCTGCTGTTTTTTTTTTCGTTCAGGCATGTAGTATAATTTCACAAAGCTAATCAGAACATTGTTTTTGCTTCAAATTGGGTTATTATTAAATCAAATTATGCATATGAAATTATATAAATAAATTATAGAAATGATATGTATATGAATTATATAACTAAAATTAAATAACCGTAATTACAGATTTAGGTTAAATAAAGTTGTCAGTCTTTATTTTTCTTCTTTTTAGGGCAGCAGTAGCTCTAGCAGCAAATCAACCATCCGCATCAAAAGCTGCAGGACAGCCCACATTTCAGAAACAAATCAAAGCAAAAATAAACACATACTACGGTTCCAAATATTCTGTATGTTGCTCAAAATATATTGTTCAGTTTTTTTTTTTACCTAGACATTTAAAATTAGCACATTTTAGAGCTGTAACAACAATACCATGAAACCATGATATTTTTTTGCTTAAGGTTATCATACCGTCAAAATCTCATACAGGCCCATGCCTACACGTAACGTAGCCTATATACGCTGAGTTTCAGTTCATTTTTGTGACACACTTAATTTGTTCACAGAAAGGAAACTCAAATGGCAAAAAGCGACATTTATTTTATAAAAGCACAATGTTTTGTTTTCATTGTGAGTGTACACAAATAAAAGCAGACCTTTATCTGTTGTAGTGGTCGACTGATATATCGCCAAGGCCGATATATCGGCCGATATCTGGCATTTTTCAAATATCGGCATCGGCCGATAAGTTTTTCTGTTTGGCCGATGCGTTCGAGGCGGGACTTTTATTTTGACGGCGCTGAGAACGGCAGCGCCTGAGCACATAGTGCTCACATTCTCCCTCTTGTTCACCGTCGTCGTTAACAGTTCTGTCTAATACAGATAAAGTCTGTCTAATAATCAGATAGAACTGTTAAACAAAGGAATTAAAATGTATACAAAAAAGTATTATAACGATTGCTTTTATATTATTAGTAATAGAAAGGCAAACATTATAATACTTTCTCGTTTGCCGTCAGCATTCAGCAAATACACAAACCTTGCAAACTTAGTCGAATCCAGCTGTGAGATCTTGTGAAGTGTGCATGTGACCTGCATGATCGCGTGTTCTCTGCGTGACTTTCGGTCCGTGCAAATTAAATGCTTTATGCTGCCCTTAATCCATTTGCCCACTGTCATATTCATGTCATTTTCACTGTGTGCTGTATGTAAAATGAGTGTTACCCGAGCGGCAACCTCCCCCTCTCTCTCTGAAGCCAACAAGGAAGTGACTTAAACTGTAATTCGTCAACTGGCCGCTAGAGGCTGGCTGCAAAAGGGAGTCAATCCCATAGACTCCCCATGTTAAAATGCCCAAATTTACAGCAGAAAAAAACATGTTTACAACCTGGTTCAAAAAATTACTTTGGTCTATATAGCTAATGTTGCCCTTCATGACAACTGTGAGGGGGGTGAATTTTTTTATAACTCATCCCTTTAAATTATATTAAGCCTTAAAGTTCTGCATAATTAAGGGCGTGGCCACTTGAGTGACAGGTGGATTGCCACTGCTGTCACCACCGTCGAGCTAGGAGTGCGTGGTTTCAGCAACCAGCTCCCGCCTCTTTGCCCATTTTCGATTATCCAGGAGTGACGCGCTGCCAAGATGGCGACGGCTGGTTCCGCCTACTTTAGGCTTCAAAACGCTCATCGGAAGTTTACGGGTTACGTCACGGACACTACATCTAAGTTTTTATACAGTCTATGGTGTTACCTTGGCTTTATTTGAAAAAATATGATTCCCAATGCATACAAACTTCCCAGAATACTGAGTGCTCTGTTGGTTACAGTTTACTTCCTTTTTTTTTTAAATAATATTTTTATTAAATATTTATTTGTGGAAAATACTTTATCTAAAGTATAAGTATGTTTATTTTACAAATTAATTTTTTAATCCATTTTCAAATGATTTCAAATTTCTTAAATATTAATTAATATGAATATAATTATATCGGCTTTATATCGGCCATCGGCCACCCTGCTTTCAAAGATATCGGCATCGGCTGTCAAAAAACCAATATCGGTCGACCATTAATCTGTTGAAACAGGAGCATGGGGCAGGCCACAGAACATGTCAAAGTGCTTGTCCACTAATAGCTTTTAGTTTAAATCACAGTAACACGGTTTCAGTCTACTTCATGTAATCAGCATTTAGGAGTACACTAGCGTGAACTAAAAACTTCTATTTTCATTTTAGGTGGTCTTAAAAGATTTATTTGTGATTGGATTAGTAGGTTGCTTTGTTGTAAATGCTTCATTTATAGTCTATTGCTCTCCTCTCTTTAGGACTGCCAAAGGACACAGAAAACTTGGAAGAAATGCCCTGTGTCATTGACAAGTTATGTGAGCTGCATGATGGGTTGGTGGTGGAGGCCAAAGGCATAAAGGAGCACTACTTCAAACCCTACATAAAGACACTGTTTGAGAAAAGAGTGAGGAACACACACACTTATATTCACATACACTTATACTGCAAGAACAGCATGATTGTTTACAGCCTGGTCATGCTTGCCATATTCTAAAAATATTCCCTTATTTTTCTCAGATATTAAAAGGTGATGCTGAGACTCTGACTGAATTACTGGATTCCCCAAATTTCCAAGACAACAAGTAAGTATATGGCATGAAATTTCTGTAAAAGTTTTTTGTCCTTTTTGGACTTTCCAGCAATTTTGCATTTAAATAAAAAATGATAAAACATCAAATGAAATGCCTTATTTCAATAAGTACTTGTATATGAATATTTGTTTTTCCAGTAAAGCCATAAATCGTGAGTATGAGGAATATGTTTTGACTGTGGGGGATTTTGATGAGCGAGTGTTTTTGGGGGCTGACGCAGATGAGGAGATCGGCACACCTCGCAAGGCCACTGCTGAGCCTCCATCAGGTCAACTATCGGCCCGCATGCAGGTGGAGAACAACCTTCAGCAGCACTTTGAGAAGGTACTGAAGATTTCTTTCTCTACTGCCACATTAGAGTAACATTCATCATGATGATTGACAATCTTATTTGAAATATCAATGTATGTGAAATACTAAATATGTTAAAAATGTATGTTTTTGAAAGATGTAATTATTATTGTGATGGCAAAGCTGAATTTGTAGCATCATTACTCCAGTCTGCAGTGTTACTTAATCATTCAGAATATGCTAATTGCTCCTTAAGAAAAATGTATTATGTATTATTATTATCATCAATGTTGAAAACAGTTGTGCAGCTTAATATTTCTGTGGAAACCGTGATACAATTTTTCAAGATTCTTTGGTGACTTTAACGTGTCCTTACTGAATAAAAGTATTCTTTAAAAAAAGTCCTACTGACCCCAAACTTTTGCCTCATCCTGCTGTGTTTTTGCATAGACGCGTTCCCTTGTTCCCTCTACTCCTCTAACGGGTCGGCGATATCTGAAGGAGAAAGAGGTGCTGGTCACCCCCATTTCCTCAGCTACCCAAAGTGTGAGTCGACTGCAGAGCATGGTGTCCGGCCTCCGAAATGCTCCAAGCGATGCTCTGGTCCAAATCTTTAAGTAAGTATCTGCCAAAATCAAACCACGCACAAATAATTAGTTTTGCAAATTAGACATGGTATGCATGTACAGCCAAGTATGCATAACCCATCATGATGGCCCTCAGCCTTTAGCCTGTTTTCTTACAGAGCTGTGTTTTATTTTTCACCATGTTTTTATAGTTCCTGCTCTCGAAATCCCACTGAATCCATTCTGAACCGAGTGAAGACCATGGGAGAGAGGTTTAAACAGGCCTACACCAAACCCACAGATGACCTGCCAGGAGCACATATGGGTCAGATATACTGCACATCTAAAAAAAACAAAAATAAATGTTTAATAAAGGCGACTGTTACGAAAGTCTCATATTTTATCATGTTAGTAAGTGCAGGTTCTTGTGTGTAGATTTTGCAGAGAATCGTCTGAAGCTGGCGGAGATCTTGTACTTTAAGATCCTGGAGAATATCATGACTCAAGAGATGAAGAGATTACAAGGGAAAGACATGGCGGTAAGTCAGTGTAACGGCTTAACTTGATAAATACACTAGTAAAAACCATTCACCCTGATACCAAACAATGTGTATTTATCACCAAACAGAAAAAAGGAAAAAAAATTTTTTTTTGCCAGATGTCATTTTTGTTTTATATCTACAGCTCTTACGTTCTGCTTTTTTTGTGAGATTGCAACCTGTTCCTCTCTTCTTCTGATCTCTGTTAGGTCCTGTTGGAGCAGGAGGTGCTCCATTGCTCTCTGTTGGCATGCTGTCTGGAGGTGGTGCTTTTTGCGTACAGCTCTCAAAGAACCTTCCCCTGGATTCTAGAAATCTTCCAGATCCCGCCATTCTACTTTTACAAGGTACAGAACGGTGCACTGTTGCATCATGTTGCAGTAGATATTGATGTCTATAGAAAAAAAATCACAACAAACAGTTAAGTCCTTTAAAGAAAGCTGTTTATTTTGAAGTACTAAAGCAAATGTACTTGTGTTTGTGTAGGTGATTGAGGTGTTCATCCGCTCTGAGGAGGGTTTGTCCCGAGACATGGTGAAGCATTTGAACAGTATAGAGGAGCAGGTGCTGGAAAGCAAAGCCTGGACCAAAAACTCGGCCCTGTGGACTGCGCTCAGTAACGCTAATAACAAAGTCCCCACTGTAGAAGAGGTACATACATACACAAACTCACAAACCACTTCACTAGGGTGAACATACTGTAAAATTAAATTACATATTGTAAAATTAATAGCCAATTAAATTACAGATATAACCTGCTTTTATTTGTTTGTTTAGGTGAATTTTCCCAGCAATTTTGACACGGGCAACAATGCAGGCGGTCCCACTCAACTTCCGTTGGTGGCGCTATCCCCCATCATCCACCCTCGCATCAGGGAGGTCCGCATAGGCCTGGCCTCAAGTGCACGCAAAGGTACCACATGTCTCATAATGAGGCTGGACTCTTGAGACCCCATAAATGTGTATAATTAAAAGGGAGGGACATTCCAGAGATCATTTGATCGGATGAAAATGTTTAGGAATATATTTGGTCCGTTTATCATTTTAAAATGCATATATAAATGCGTATATGAAATATTACTTAATATTATTTATTTATTTGGGTAACACTTTACAATAAGGTTAGTTAACGTTATTTAATGCCTTAACTAACAATGTGCTATACATTGTTACAGTATTTATTTAATCTTTGTTAACATTAATTAAAAGTACACCTGTTCATGTTAGCACATTAATATTAACAGATATTAGTAATGTATTAGTTAATGTTTAAATTAATTTTAACTTAATTAATTTTAAGAGTTTAATAAATGCTTTACAAATATTTTTTATTGCTAGTTCATGTTAAATAATGTTAACACATGGTAACATTATTGTAAAATTAAAAAAAACTTATTAAAATTATTTGCAAGTATACAGATGACCTCAAAGCAAAAAAGCGAAAAATTGTGTTATTATTCATCTTATTTTTACCCCTTCAGACTTGAATTTTTTCCACTGAGCAAAAAAAAAAAAAAAAGGACTATGGCTAAAGCAACATAAAAATGCTCACATTTTAACCATACGTATGAACTAGAGTTTAAACAGTTTTGAAAAGAATATACTTACTGTAACAATGAGCAGTGCAATAAGAATGTAGAAAAATACTTTTTTAATCTTTTTGTGGCTTGCAGTGTACGAGTCTGTGTACGAGTCTGTGTGTGTGTGTGTGTGTGTGTGTGTGTGTGTGTGTGTGTGTGTATATGTGTGCGTGTGTTTGTTTGAATATCGAAAAA